GCTCCCGTCTCTCCCCGGGAGCGCAGCGACTCCCGCGCCGTCCGCACGCTGCAACCGAGGGACAGAAGAGAGAGTCACCCATGGCGCTGCCGACGGCTCTCACGGCCTCCCCATCATGAGTCTGATGAGATGAAAACCTTCCCAGGCAACATCCCCCCCTCCGGCCGAGGCAGCAGCGGGGCCGTTCCCAACACGCCGCACCGCCAAAGACCCCCTCATGGGCTCCCTGCACCGCTCAGGCCCTGGGCTGCCCAAGGGACCCCGGTGCACGCACCCCCGGGGCAGGGACGGGCGCCGCCGCTGCAGCATACGGTGCGTCTGCGCTGGCAGAGCGCGGCGGCCATGCCCGTGCCGGGGAAGGGCAGGGAGCAAAATACACCGCTTTTTCTGCCGGCAGCAGCCGCGGAGGGCCCTGCCGCGAAGCGCTTCTCACCTCCCGCTAATGTGTCAATTGTATTGGAAATCACTTTTGTTTGGCGCAGGAGTGAATTTCTGAGCTCGCGGTTTCTATCTCACCCTTCCCCGGTTTAATCATTACATCAAGAAAATCTCTTCTCACGGCACGGTGACAAGCACATCTCCACTTTTTTTTTTTTTTTTTTTTTTTAAATGCTATAGTCTATTTTGTCTCCATTTGTCACGATGCCCCTTTAGCGGCGCAGCAGAGGGGCAAATTGGAGGGCTGTAGAAATAAAACCTGAAAGAATCACTGGAATTTTTTCCCTATTTCTTTTCCTAGTAAAATCCTCCTCCCTCCTGCCCAGTGTCACTGGTTCCTCCAAACCCCAGCTCCTGTGGCTGACCAAAGCACAGGATTTTCAACCCGTAAATCCAGCGCTGGGGCACCCAGTGACATGGGGCAGCACGCCACGCTGCTGGGGACGGGAGCTTGCCCTGCGAAGGGGGCTATTTCTCTCCTTTTGGCTTACTGTAAGCAAAGGTGGGTGACGCTTTTTCATGAAACCTTTCATTAACATGAAGTTTCTTGTTCATAAACATGTGATGCTGCAGCGCAAACACTCGCGGATGCAGATGTGCAGCTACGGCCACCCTGGCATCGCCCTCGCACGGCGCGGCATCCTCCC